ATTCCACTTCTTACTCCACCCCTGCCAATTAGTCCCTTCACTTCTTACTCTGGCTGTCCCATCATCTAACTTATCCAGCCCAACCATTACGCCCACCTTATCCAGCATTTCATCCAATTTCTACATACATGTAGAGTACCTTGTCCCCATAATCCTCCTCCTACAGGTACCCCTCCACCAACATGCATCCTAATCTGTCACTTGGAGTCCTCCCCCCCATCCCTTACATTTTCCCCACATGCTGTACTTGTACATTTGTATGTGTCTAAACACTGTCTATACATACATACATGTACATTACAGGAGTGCTCGTATGTACTGTATGTACTACAGGGTAAGTACACAGTACAACTCAAACATTAACATTCAACTTTTAGAATGTTTTCATTAAATTCATAAGTTTCTAAGCATTAATGCCATAAGAGACTATTTACACACTGATGGAATTCCTAGAGGAAGCAAACAAGCACTCAGTGGCACATTTTAACACCTATGGACCTACAAGGAAAAATTTTAACATTTGAGGCCGGCCACCTGGCCGGCCAGACAGAAGACAGAAACCAGTATTACATAGGCTCGCATTTGCTTCGTAGCTCTCCAAAAAGAGGTTTGTCCATCCTTACCCACCCTTGCCCACAACATAGTGCTGGCCCAAAACTCATGACAGCATAACTGTGAAGGCACACTGAATATGTGAAATGGTTTCCAAGAGTCAAGATACCCACTCCAATGTGCTCTTTAATCTGGTGACTGTTTCTCTCTGATATGGTTTCTCTGCCAGTGGCTGCAATGCAATGCAATACATGTACATGTGTAGTCACATGGAATGATATACCGGGAGCAATGGACGCATTACATAAATATTCTGACTGTTATCTGTATCTTTTTTCAACACACTGCACACTCTGCATTGATTATGAACCTATCTCGGAGTATAGTATCTAGAATGGCATAAACCGGACGAAATAACACAAATACATACTGTACAAATACACGTAGACAGCTGATCACCTTTAACTGAGAGAAAGATTAGACACACTGGCTATAACTATTCTAATCTAGATGTTCATCTGTGGGGATTCTTGCTCAGGAGTACCAGCCAAAAAATCCACCAACATGCAGTGCACAAGGGTCTGTCTGACGTTCCTCTGCACAAACACAGGAAGGGCTTGGTGTCTTAGGGGCCCCGAGATCACGCGGCTCTTTTTAAGGTGGTATTAAAGTGAGACAACAAGGTGGGCCAGTGTGGTTACAGAGAAGACATGGGAAAAATGATAAATAAGGAAAGAGACATGTACACTGTCTCCAGTGGAACTAACATTTACAAAAACAGTATTTAAGGAAGGGGGACCCGAACTTGCAAGTGAGGCATACTGGCTGTGATAATTTCTGTCTCTAAAGTTACCAAATTAGAGAACAGAAAAAAAGGGGGAAAAGGTGTTGCCCCCCCCCAAAAATGAAAACTAAGGAGCTCTTTGGCACACATTCTCATGTATCTTACTGAGTACCGGTACATGTATCTATGTTGTGAAAAAGAACAAGTAAGCCTACATGTACTGTACCAGTACGCAGGATAAACAGATCGACTTTTGTTCACATGCTGAGAAGTACAACGTCAATGAGCAACAAATTAACTTGGGGTCAGTATATTGCTCGAACATCAATGTTTGGAGAGAGGGAATCAGATATTCTGCAAACAGATACAACCGGTATTTCAAAATAATCAACTTTCCAAAAATTCTTCAAAACAAACAAATTTTTTAAAAAAAATTCCATATCCAATCCTGTTTAAACTTTTGCTCTTTTTGCTAACACAGTTTGATTCACAAGCTTTTCTGACTTTATGGTAATTTTTCTCTTCTGATATCAAGTATCCCCCCATCACTTTATGCAAATTGCTCCAGAGGCAGGTCCAGCACTTGGACCCGTCGAGGTGCGTGATTCATCTCCTAGCCAGACACCCGATGGCAATGAAATCAGCACAGCGGCCGCCATAAAAAATCAACACGGCCTTGCTGCTGTGGAAATACTGAGTGGAGAAAGGGGAGGTGAAAATAAAAAAAAAACACTTACACTAGCAACGGACTCGTGATACAACCTTGTTAAAACTGGGCCATGGCGCAATCGCTCACTGAATAATGAGGCAACGTTGGGGCAAGCCTGACTTCAGCCCCTTGCTCAACCATCGTGGGGTTAAACAAGGATGTAATTTGATCTGCAATCGAGTTAACTGTCTATTAGGGCAGGATGAGCCTGCTGATGCGTAGCCCAGCCGCCGGTAATTAGCCTTACGTGGGTGTGCCAAAGCAAGATTATCCTTATGGAGTTTTCTCACAAAACAAGTGATTATTAATTGAATGTTGTGGAATATAACAACAAACTTTCTTTAAAGACTTGTGATCACAACATCCAAGCATGACAGCTCTTTGGAAGGAAAAACCTATAAGGCTCCCCTCCCCCTAAAAACCTTGGTCTCTGGTCAGACTAAAGTTCCAGAATTGATGCGGCGATTTTTTTTTGGTTTTGGTTGTTTTTTCGGGGGGGGGGGATATGGTTGGCTTTTTAAGACTGGCAATGTACACGGAAATGAGTGGCATATTTAATCAACGAGTAAAGGCTTGTGGTAGCACGTCACATATCATACATGTACCACCATTGTTGTTGATGAGCTGGCTGTAACTTTGTAATCTACCCACGGTCTACCGTTTGTGTTCGACATCAACATTACACAGTCGTAACGGATCTATCACCGGATACGAGCTACCCACGAATTAGTCTGGTTCCTTGAACAAATTGCCCTTCTGACTGGTGGACGGGAATCAGTCTACTCGCGAACATTCAGGCAGTGCGGAAATGGAGGGCGCAGTTTTGAGAATGTCGAGAAAAAAATGGAAAAAAAATTGATACGCATGTTCAAAATCGACGTGTGTGCTGACCAGAGACCGAAATGTTTTTTTTTTGGCCTAAACTAAAGAAAATTCCAGCTCAAAGTCACAAAGTCCAAGAGAGTAATACATGCACACCAATATTAGATTTTAGGAGAGCTGTTGGCTGTCCAGATCTTTGAGTGGCCCATATGCTACATGTACTGGTATCTAAAAGGGACATCTTCAGCAAACCAGCTTAGTCTGCCTCTTTCTCAAGAGGTGTTCCCCTATCATCAAGTAATACAATCTTCCCTCTATGAAAAGGCTCAATGCATAGATACAATTCCCATCAAAGGTACAAATATATCCCTGTTCAATCTTGACATTTTGCAGCTCTTAACAAGCCTTTTGCATGTGTTTGCTTGTCTTTCCACTTAACACAATACAGTAACCTTTACTGAAAATGACTGTAAGGTTTGGCTGTCATGACTGTAAAATGCCACTTTAAGCCAAAAATGACATTTCAGGCAGTTGCAACCCAATGCTGAGAAACAAACCAACCAGATGTGAAATTGCACATATATGGCAACTCCCCCCCCCAGAAAAATACAGTAAATTTTGCAAAACCAACAACTGCATTATTGCACTGCAGTGAGAAATCTTTCCCTTTACCCTCAGAAACATTAAAGGCATACATGTACTCCTTTGGTCAAAGTTCCTTGATCACCAAGGATAAACAAGTTATAACTTAACAGATTTTTCAACAAGAAAAACTGCTTTATTTCTCAGCTACATGTACATGTACAGTCCATGTACATGTACTTCATACTACAGCCACTAGGCATGTACATATCCACAATGCAGACATCTCTGACTGACCACTGAAGTGGAAGCCCAGGGTTTGTAAGATGAAAATTTGATTGGTCTGACTTGTTGGCAGGCAACTCACAACAACACCTGTCCATTTGAATGCCTACATATACGCTGCATACCTTGCATACCCTGGACATGTACATTGTACATGTATACATACCGATATGTGTACGAATTTCACAACACAAAACCATTTTCAATATACAGTACCTTTATTTTGCATTTACATGTACATTGTGATTTAACATTCAGGGATGACTGTACTTTAGCACGTCATTACATGATCATTCAAAGAGAAATTCATTCAATAAAATGCAAGACTGATTATAATTGATGACGCTACATGCATTTTCAGCAGCAAAGGACATCTTTAAGACAAGAGAATAAACAGAATAAAAGTCAGCAATGGTCATGTGGCCAAAGGAGCAAAACTTCAGAAGTATGCAAAATCTGTTTCCTAGAAAAGATCACACACAAGTAACGTGCAAGCAGCTGCAGGGAACTTGCTAGAAGAGCTTGTGAAAAACTCACATTCTGTTGGTATTGAAGGCATTATTTGAATGGAGACTGGAATCCCACTCCAGCTCCAAGGGAAAAAAAACTGATACTCGACAAAAAATATCATCTCATAGACCGGCCACCTGGCAAGCTGACATGCATCTGCACAAATTAGACAGCAGCAATGGCCTGCTAGACTGAATGGTTGGCCTTAGCCAAGCATTGATGCAGCATGCAGGACGTGATGGAAAGGCAGGTCGATGGAAACGCAGGTTGAACAGTGACACAGGACATAATTTTTTAGGAATTCCTGGCCCAAAGTACAATGCACCTGAGCAAGACTTCCAAGGCTTCCTGTGTTACAAAAGGTTTTAATTTTGATCTATCTAGTGTCTGGTGAAGGGCACTTAATTACATATGCACTGCTGGTCGGTTCATACTTAGGCACATGCAAAAGCAAAGTGAACTTGACGTTATTAAACAACTACAGTGAAATTTATTTGTGTTTCGTGCCAAGCATGAATAGGCCTTTCAAGCAATCATAACAATACCGGTATGTCTAAGGGGTCATCCATTTTTTGTTTCATCATTTTAAACAATGTACCTGACCCTTCCCTCCATAGAGTAAGCAAGAAAATAATGATGGCCAATTGTCTTATTTTCACACCTTTTTGAAAGCATACACAGACTTTTACTGCCCCTCTCAGCACGGATTGTTCCTTCATGAAAGTGATTTTGAAATTGACAACCTTTTCTGTAGATAATTTGAATTTTTCAAAATTAGCACTTTTTAGAGTACTTGCAAACAATGCAGTTTTGTATATGAGTCTATACGCACGTGCATGGCACAAGTACCAGTATACACGAACCGGGTACATGTACATTACATCTACGGCAGGTCACACACTACGCTGTTACCCAGATTATCTAAGGGTTATCGACAAATTTAACGCAGAGATTACCTGGGTCATTGAGAGCATTCACACTGCACTTCTCAGGGTTAGATATTCTCCAGGTTAACCGCCTCAAAATGCCACTTACCTGGGTAAGTTCTAACCCTACTTGCGAGGTGGATTAACCCACCGATCTCGGGGTTAACAACAGCTTTGAGGCAATTCTCCAGGTTACCTTCAGCGGTGTGAATACTCGCAGGGTTTTCTTCAGCCCGGGTTTTGTTTTCGGACAGTCCATTATTTTCACATGTACTTCATACGAAGGATAGTAACTTGTCTTTCTGAGTTAAATTCTCGTACACTATTTGGAAGGCACCAGTCTTGACCTCATGCAACAAGCATGAACATATGTGGCATAAGTTCTTGTTTACACATATGTACACATTGGGACACATCGACACTTCTTCATTGTCTATGGCGAAAGTGGCGAAATTCAGAAGAAGTATAATCAACACTATGGGTTTCCAATTCCATGACAGGCACCATTTTGCTACTATGCTGTAGTGAGCAAAATTGGATTGTGGGAGGTCAGAGGTTAAGCTATGCACATGTGTACCTGATTCTCTGGGTTGCCACTCTTGCAGTGTGAACATAGTTACGAATTACCTGGGTTGACAGGAAAGTAGGTAAGCTAAATTGCAGGGTGAAGTTTTGAAGTGTGAAACCGATTCTCTGGGGTAGTTCCTACCCAGATATGAACAACTACCGTACCCGGGTCATTAATTGCCCGCGGAAGTTCAGACTAATGTGAAAAGGGCTTATACGTACATACTGCATACATGTACATGTACCACATGAATAATATAACGGCAAGAGGATAAAATGTAAGTTTTCATACCTTTAACAGCACTGCCAAAAAACAGTGAAGGTGTACAACTCAATCTTCAATATGCGAAGAAGTACCATTATGTCTAGAAGCACCTGCAGTCAGTGTGCATATAACCTTGCCACGGTAAATCATGTGAAGAATGAGCGCCTGCTGTCTAAAAGATCTTACCTGTGACGGAGCAGAAGACAAGGCTACTATATCAAATTCATCCTCACTGTAATAGGAGGGAGGGGAAAAAAAGAATAGAGAGATAGATTATCAACAATTTATAATCTACTTTTCAACCAAGTTTGATGATACAATTAAACATACATGTACCGAGTATTACATGTACATATACAACACTGTTCTTGTCTTTCAGACAAACAACATACTGTTGAGTGTTCATGTTATTTTGTGGAAGTCTCTGCTTGCTGAATGCAAAGATCTGAAGCTGATTCCAAAATTTTGCTTGAAAATTCAAGTACCAGTACATGTACATAGAACTTGTTCACGTAATGTACATGTGGAAATTGGTCAAGCTGTTGTCTACCTCATTACTAGCTGTAAGTAATCAACAAATAGATCCCCCCCAAAAAAGTAGAAATAATAGGTGGTGCCTTTAACCTTTATTTTAAATGTCTTTTTCTGTAAAAATATTTCTTCTTCATGAATTATGAATGATACATTGTAGTGAGGTCAGTTAAAGCTTCAGCAATTTCTACTTTTGCAAGAATGTGTCCAAGGGAGAATTACATTCAACACCTTTCTGAATGTTCTTTTAAACTTCAAAAAAGTCCCTTATTCAAAAAACCTTCAACAGAGAAACTGCTCAAATGCAATCAAGAAAAGCCCTATGCTTTGGGATAAAAGGCATGTTAAGAAGTGAACAAAACTAATCAAAATCAAAACAAAAAGCAGCATCCAAAATGGGAAGAAATGCTCTCGATTTCAGCTGGCAGGTTATAAAAACCAGCCGAGTTCACTTTGCCAGGGATCAATTGAAAGACAGATCGAATGAATGAAACATGACACCAAGCCCTGGTCAACCTGCTGTCCAGCTGCCCCAGGTAGGTCTTGATCGGACAAATGATTGCCAGTAGCCATTGATTTGCCCCCAATTTGCAAACCACAAACTTCATACCCTTTTTCTCTAAAGGACACATTTCAGTGCTCAACTTATTGTGAAGTATCTTACAGGTGAGATACCCATTGCCTATACTGCAGAGATATCATTGAATAAGATCACTAAGCAATTTATCTCAGGAGATTTTTCATTCTTCTTGAAAGGCAAGAATTTTAAAGTCAGCTCAGAAACCATCACTCACTTTAGACCCGTCCAATAAATTCATGAAAAGATCACGACGACACATTTCTACATTAAAATTTTAAGTTTGATAATTACCACATGATCAGACTGCACAACTTCAGTTGGTAATTGTTTTTTTGAACAGTTTATTTTAATTCTTTTGAAGTTAAGCATGTACATGTACATGCTGTTCTAACAATTTAAATTTGTACTGAATACTGAATGTATGTTCTAAGCAAACAGCCCATTGTCTAATTGGTTGTTTACATGCATGAAGTACATGTACATGTAAATGTCTTTGGCTAAAAAGTATTAAAAATTGACATGCACATGTATTTATTTAGGAACCTTCAAACCTGTCCTCTCGAATCTACATGGAATTTACTAATGTGTTGAGGACATTTCAAGTTCCTAATGGACATACATGTAACCCGGAACAATTTGAGGTAAATTGCACTCACGCAGAGAGTAGGTCCTTGGTAAATGAAATTGGTATTTTAATTTTTCTTTGTTTCTTCTCTTTTTGGGTATTTTTCTTTTTTTTTGAGGAGGAATTTTTTTTTACCAAAAGTGCATTCGTAAGACTGGGGCAATAAATACATGTAACAAATCTAACACCCTGAACATCAAAGTGCAGTTCTAAACAAAAAATATAAACAGTTACTCATATCTTGAATGAGGTAATCTGATTTTGGTTGTGCAGTGTGCAGATATATACCAAGGCTCAAGAGTCCTTTATTGTTAATCTGGATATTTCAATGTACACATACTGTACGTACATACATGTACATGTATGAAACCCAATCCAATCTTAAAGGCATTCAATACACTTACACCTGAAAAAGAACAAACTCTTGTCTGGATTGAAACATTACACTGGTGGCACTGTTTCTATCTCCTCAACCTTACCTGAAGATTTCACGGCATTGAACTAGTAGCATTGAATTTTGTCATTTGCATGTATGTGCAGTATTGGGACGTTATGCAAGACAACCTCTGCTTAGAACTTTAAGAAAGCTGAAAACAGAACTTTCCGAGAAAATGAAATTATAAAGATGTGCAATTTTGCCGTCAAACAGTTTTGTAAATTTGGCCAATTTCCAAAGATGAGTAAGGGTGTCATCATTGTCTCTGCGGAACGAAGCGTTTCTGCTCACTTATTGGCTGACTCTTCCGTACAGTATCTGTACTTAGAATTACCACGAATCCTTCCAAAATCCAGCACTTTTGGCAGATTTGACAGGACTGAAGAAGATAGAGCCCTGCCACTCACATGCTCACACTTTGGATAGGGCAGGAATCCGGAAGCCCTTCAAGCAAAGAATACATGTATATACATGTATGTAGTTGGTTTTCAGAGAGGATTTAAAGATTTTTGAGATTGAGGGGTCAAGCTTAAAGAACTTTCAGACAGAAAATTGTACCAGAGGAAAGTCAGTTTTTATTTTTACACTCTAGAGTATATTTTTTTGGCTAAATACAAGAACTCACCATGGAGTCTGGTATGATTTATACAATTTTTAAAGCATACTGGTACATGTACACAGTACATCCATGTACATGCAACTTAGGAAGGGCTTTCAAAGTCCACAGAAATTCAGTTTGGCTTCAGTTCAACCACCGACTGCATCCCTACCGGTATGCTTTCAGAAAAGAGGGACAGAAGTACAATAATTCACAGCATGATTTCCACTGAGATTGCCAAGGGTACTTCTTTATCTAATTCTGGGCATATTACTTTGGGCAGTGGGGTCCCAACAGAATATGGAACAAGATTGTCATCATGATGACACGAGTCATGTTGCAGTTGGTATGAACAGAATAATTTCAGTTCAATGCTGTTGAAAATCTGCTCATCCGTTCTTCACTTCTTTTTTTGCGGGGGATCTCGAGAGGCATTATACCCATTATAATTGGATTGATCTCTGTTTCACTTTGTTTTGGGGGTAATCACAGAGTTGACTATATGACAGAATTCAAACCCAAAGCCATTCTTTCCAAAAGCTCTCTGATGCTAAATGGTAATTTATACACACAAGCATCTTCCCCAGTAACATGTACAAAAAAATATGTTTAAATAAAAATATCAACAGAAAAACAAAGAACTTTCCCAGAGTCATTGAAGTGAGCCTGTAGACAAGCTACATTGTACAGTAAACATGTAACAATAAAATTGGAAGCAATTTTTTTACACAAACACCCTCAGAATTAAGCCAAATCCCACTCCATTATATTGTTCCTGTAAACACGTTTCTTAGGGCAGATGCAAAATAAAAAGCTTCTGGATGGCACATGTTCAGCAATAAATCTGTATTTTGACTGGAATACTATACATTGTGGGGCTCTCCTCTAAAGCCCTTCATCTTTAAACGACTTAAAATTTCTGCATTTACGTCAGTAAAGAGGTCGATGTTTTTAAGGGTCTGAGGGTGGGCACCATGGCTAAAACAGAAATGTTTCCTTTGGGAGAAAAAAGAATAAACAAACTTTGTTGCTGGGGGGGTCAAAATTTTTCATGTGGGAGGAGTTACTGTATCTTTGGCTGTTGTTGAAGCCATTTATTCTCTTTGTTTTATTTTTGTCCAAACATGAAAATAAGACTCCTGCAGGGTTTACTGCAGCCATTAGTCTTAGACGGCTAAAAGGACAAACAAAAAAGGGGGCAAGGGGCAAGGACGGGTGTTCACCCCTAAACATAGACTGTATGCATGTGGACATATTATGAAAATTGTGAGTAGTTTGCTCGGAGTTTGCAATGTTTGTAAGAAAGCATTACAAAAAATTCTGAATACATGGAAAAAAGTTGGAAAACATTACAATAAAAAAAGGGAGACTGACAATGTATATGCTACAAAATAAATATTTGTCAGCAAAATTTAACACAACCTTTAATGTACTTAATGTACGATATGTGCATGTACATGTACGGGTAGACTTGTTGCCACTTTCAAAATTGTCTCAATCACAGAATCTAGTCGAAATTGTCAAAACCAATGCAGGACTGGGAACTGATGTAAAATTGGAAGGCGGACACTGCCTTCCCCTGAAATGTCAAAGCAGTCCAGGACATCACTTCCCACTGAGCCTTGGGGAAATATTCACTTATCCAGCCCAAAGGGGAAAAAAATCTGTCAATACATGTACATCAAAAATGTTTATGTCTTCATCAGCTCTTGGAAAAAAAAAAAAAAAACGAATATGAAGGTACGTGTACATGTACATGATGTGCGACGCTAGTAAGGTTAACATGGGGAAAGCAGAAGAGAGACATCATGGTCTGTGACTCATGCACATGTCAAAACCATCCATTTCACCGAAGGCTGAACATACATGAACTGCACGGGATGTCTCCACACATGATTAATCTTATTTGAAATCACTGGGGGAACAAAACAATCACTGTCTGGATGTCTAGTCCAATTATCTCGGGAGGGTTCTGCAGGTGGGAGGACCCAGAGGTACCTGTGCATGTGAGAGACAGCTGAGAAGGGAGGAACTGATGGGTAGGAGGAAAGATGGAACGAAGTGATGTGGGAGAAGAGATAGAAACTTCAGATGACATCAGCAGTGAGATGATGGCAAGATGTCCAGAAGGACACTGCAAGCCAGTGAAAAGCTACTGTCAGGAAAACATCATGTACACATACCCACATGTCCATAAATATGCACACGTTTCTGAATGCACCACTGCATGTGCACACATCGTACTTGTTCCGCAGTTGGAGGGACAAACACTTGACATTACACCCATTGTGTGGAGACCCAAACCATTGTGGGGACAGAGAAATGTCCCCACAACTCAGTCCCAGTTAAACAAAAGTAACTGTCCCCTTAGGCCTGACCACATTTCTTTACATACCGGTACATGTACACTGAATGTGGTGCATACACCTGCATGTGGATGTACATGTGTGTCTTTGCTGACG